ACAGAATTGCCACCATTGTAGTAATTAAGGATGGACTGAAGATTGCATGATATGATCCATTTTCTGTAGCAGTAATCAGACACGATCAGCTAATTGTTCTGCTGAGTGGTAGCCTTCCGTCTGAAGTTCTTGGGGGAAGCTCTGTAACAGGTTTATTTTTATGACGTCTTTCAGACTGACATTCGTATTCTTTATCTATGCACACATACATATGTACATATACTTACACATATGTACTTCCCAAGGACTGTTTGTATAGTAAAGAAAAGCATGTTCATTACTCTAAAGTAATTGTATTTCTATCTTTTACATTATTCAAATACTCTGAAAACCTGATTAGGTTCAATTATTAAAAATATTTCTTCTGTTAATGTGGAAAGCATCTCTTGGTTAAAGCTATTCCAAAGAATCAAGTGCAGTTTTCTGCCAGACAAACCTTTTCAGATCCTTATGCAAATGACTTAGTAAAAACTGGGCACCAAAACAAGGTGAGTTTGAGGAGGTGAACCTCAGTCTGACTCTCCTCTCTCCATTTATTAAACAAGTATAATAGTACTTCCCTACCTCAGAGAGGTGTTCTGGGTACAGTATAAAGATTGCACAGTAACAAGATAGTGTAAAAATGAGGACTCTGCAAGAACACTGAAAGTAGGTCATAGTAAAAATTTCCAAAATTTCCAAAAAGCTACAGCGAGACATTTCTCTGGTAATCTCTTTATGGTTTTGTTTTTTTTTTCCATGAAACACAAGGAGAGTTGACCTACTCTATGCACAGCATTTTCACACTCCTTTTTAAACATGCAGGATGTATCTGCCTTGGGGGTGGTAGGACGTGGGATTTGTCTCATTACCAATGCCAAATGCAATCAGTAGACAACTTGCTGCTTTAATTTCTGAGGACTTATTCTTATAGTTATGGTTGTAGTTAAGCTTATCATGTGATCATGTAGAAAAAAAAGTGAATAGTTGTTTTTCCTCTAGTATATCTACCCATTGGCAATGAGTAGTTAGGATTAAAAGCTCCATCTAGCCCAAGGCTATAATGAATATTCAGGAAAAATGATTCTGTACTGCTGCTTAGGGAAGTAAAAAGACAACCCCTGTAACATTCAAATCTCCTGTGCGTTTGGAATAAACAAGCAATATTTGATTAAGAACAGGAAGACAGAAGACACACTGATGTACATCTCATACCAAAAGAGACTTTATATTGTATTAAATTGCCAACAGATTCTTGTAGGTACAGTGCATGAATCAATATTATGTTTTAGCTGATGATAATTTTACCAAGCTTTTATATAGGTGGTGTTTGTTTAAAAAAAAATAAAAATACAGCAGATAAATGAAGTATGCTACCAATGGATGTTACAGTCCATTGAAGCATTTGTTCATTCTTTTGGATTGACACACAGAGTGAAATTATGCAACACATTCTGTAACAATCACACTAGATCATCATTAATGAGAGAACCAACAAACCTAGTTATGTGCAATAGAAGATAATTTATAGCAACATGGTAGACTCTGAACCAAAAGCATTAAAATCCTGTACTACATTAAGCAGAGTAATATTTTAGTTAGTTCATGTTGTTGATTTTGTGAATGTAAATGCCCAGCTGTTTTTACAGCTACTAACGTTTTACATATCAAGCCATTTAGAAAACATTTCTCAACTGTGCAGGCTTCATCAACCGCTTTATCCATGATAAAAGCTGCAGGCACTTTCACAAAGTTGGGCTGGGGTAAAAAAAGTATATGTATGTTGTATTAGCAGTGACAGGTGTTTTTTGTAACGCTATATACAAGTTTTATGCTCATCCTTTGAATGTTTTATAAATCCAATCTCTGCTAAGAATCAGTAAATACAATTTGTAAATTAGGGTCAATCTTTCAGAAATCCAAGTAGATGGGAAGCTCTGAATTGGCAAAATGAAGCCTGTATGTGGCATCTTTAAAACTAGGTTTTGGTACCAGGCTGCTCACCTTGTTAAATTTGTACCTGAGCTTAAAACTTTGCTGAATATAATCAATTAATGTTCTCAGAAATCTGAAGTTTTGAACTGCATTTCAAATTGGGATAATTTTTTTAGTCAATGATCACACTTAGAAGTGAATTCTCTACTTCTAATCACTTCAATCTTTCTCGAAAGTAGTGTAGTTCATTCATTTCATATAAAAATTAGCTGTCCAGTGACACAAGTATCTTCTGTTTTCATCCATCTGATAACTTCTGATGTGTTTTTCTGAGTCCTTAGTGCAAATATCGTAGGAAATAATGAATTTTATAAATGAATTGATAACTTTTTCTTAATGATGTAAAGCAGAAAATGTGATGTTACAGATAAAATCAGGTGGGGATGTTATTCCTCTTTGAGAATATGTTAGTTGTCTGTACAGCATAAAAGCTCTGGTATTCTCATGCAGTAGCTTCGTGGCGTGGAAATCCCTCTGGCAGCAGAAAGCTCAGGCATGTGGTGGCTGTGGCCACCTGACACTTGCGGTGTCACTACAGCGAGGGTAGAGAGGACAAGCTCGAGGACAAGCTCGGGTGACCTGCTGACGTTGGCCACTGCTCCAGGAGGAATCTGAGCAGGAGGGGGCTGGATGCTCCAAACAGAAGAAGGAGGCAGAGGTGAAGGGTGAGAGGGTAGGTCAGCTGAATGCTCCAGAACAGCTCCACTGTAGGACTGAAACTGAAAAGGGAAGCAATAAGATATGTCACATGTGCGTGTGTTTTGGGGGTGGCACAAGGGTAAACAGTAATTTATCTTTTTTTTAAGGTATGCAGCATTATCTTTATATGATATTTATTTAATAAGCAAATTAATTAGAAGATTATGGGGAAAAATCAGCTAAAGAAATACCTGATTCAATCCAAACTTATCAAATTGAATGGAAATTTTAATTTTTTGTATAAAATGCAACACCTTTCCAATTACTATCAGTGACCATCTCCCTATGCAGCAAAGCACTGTGTTCAATTTTTTTTAAATTTTTTCCATGTTTCCTCACTAAACATTCCTATTTTTTTGGAATATTAAGTGAAGTAAAATCAAAGATTTCACCTCTTTCAGTTGAGTTTTCAAACTATTTTCCTGTTAAGTTACTGGTGGTTTTATGGATGCTGAAAACGGGCAGGTTTCCAAGACTGATACAAGTGAGCCTTTCAAAAGGGCTTCGTCTAAACTTGTGCTGTGCAATCATGTATTTAAACTGTTTACTCGCTTGAGAAACTGAAGACCCTTCCATTGAATTTGTTGCATTAATCTTAGTGGGGGAGAAGCAGAACTGATTGAAAATGATGGTTACTTTTGGAAAAAACAGGTCAAATTATTATTTCTTAAGAAAGACAAACTCGTTGAATTGTCTTAGGTGGGATGGAAATTGATTTTATATGAATGACCGAGATCTCCCAAGAAGTTATTTAATGTGGATTAAAATGTGGGGTTTTTAAGTGTTAGTGTGTGTTGGAGTACGAATTTTTACAGCAGCACTATAAGCACAAGGAAGTCAGCATAATGAGTGATGTGATGCCAACATCCTGGACATTTTTACAGGATTTCTAAGGAGAAGAATTAACATAAAGGATATACAATTCATGTCTTCTGGAGGGTCTCTCATTTCTGCATTGGGCCTCAAGGAGATTCAAAACAGAATTGAAAGTCAAAGATGCAACTACTTTCATACTGCCAGTGCAGCATTCATACATATTTCATGGAAGCTGCCTGGGTGGAGAGATCACCATTTTTATTGGAATGGCACAGCTAAGTCTCAGGGTTTTACTATTCATGTCAAGCACTGTGTACTTTCCAGGAACACAGCCTGTGGGGATTTTGTTTGTATTTAACCATTGGCGTAGAGAGAAATAAGAACAAGGGGATGTTTCCTGTGTGTTGACTAGACTGACAACCTTGGTGTCCACTGAATTGTTTTAAACTAAACTTCATTTAGGCTCATCCTGTTTTCAGTTACTACGTAGCAATGCAGCTTTCTGAGTTTTTACAATATCCAAATTGGAGAAAATTATTCGTATATGACAGACTTAATTATCTGAGAGAGTGATAAAGATTTAGTAAATGTAAATAATTGCTGTGGTACCAATTAGCCTACCCACAGGTTATGCTTGTACTAAATCTAGTAATAGCACCATTCAGTTTTTAAGCATATCACACACCATGTTCTACATTCATCAGTATTGCAAATTTTAAGGTATTTGTTAAAGTGCATTATCAATAGCCAACAGAAAAAAACAACCTATACCCCAAGAGCGATATTGAACAATAACCGTTGTATGTGCCAGATGCAGAATGTTAGTTCCACTGAGCTGTTTTCAATAGAAAGGATGGTTGATTACTGTCTACATGAGACCTATTCCATAAGGGAAGTAAATGCCTGGAAATCATGAAAAGCCAACACTTGAAGATTTTTATTTCTGGCTTTAACATAGAAGATTTTGATCTTCCATTTGCACTATGGGCATCCCAAGTTATTCTCTGAAGTCAGAGGCGAGTTCAGAAGTGCTGAACTGCATTCTGATAGCCCTGCCACCTCGTCACATCCTTGTTCTGATCAGGGCATGATTAGCCAATGCTTCGGTTCACATTATTTTATAGGATACTAGTTATTTTCAATATACCTTACATAGAGTGAGTCATTAAAACTGAAAAGTAATTTTTAAAACGAATGAATAAAGAAAGTCTCTGTCATCCAGAATGATATTTTTCCCTCTCTGGGAAGGGAACATTTTGTGATATATTTGTCTTTTGCAAAAAAAAAAGCGCAAATTTTTCTTTTTTCATGAACTAACCTTTCTGTAAAGGATTAGCAGTTACTCGATGTGTCTGAAATAAGTTAACTAATGAGATGAGGTTCAGTGCAAATGTGTAATTTCACAAAATCACAGTATAGCCACTTATAGCAAAGTTTTCTATTTTCTTGATACACCTTTTGTTCATATTACTTTTAATTATGTTCTATATTTATCTGACCTGTTTGAACAGGATCCAGAGCTGGTACGGAACATCTGTCGCTGGGTTAGACAAGCTGTTCAGATTCCTTTCTTTGCCAAGCTGACCCCAAATGTCACTGATATTGTGAATATTGCGATGGCTGCGCAGGAAGGTAACTGACTCCAGTGCACAAGCTGTGCAGATTTGCTAATTTGCTGGATGGGGAAAGATAGGGGAGTTGCTGGAATAATAACAAATAACAGCAGAAACTAATATGGAAAGAGTTTATCTGATATATTTTTATAATCAGCACAGTGATCAAAGGCTTCTTAATTTTGTCCATGCTTCTAGAATATAGCCATATAGGAAGAGAACTATATTAGACTGTTGGTAATAAATCATATATGTTTGTGTGTGTTTATCTGCATGCTCCTGTTTCTGTCATATTTATACATTTATCATACCACTATAAATTCTCCTGTTCCTACATTTAGTAGTGAAAATGGTGTGTCCTGAGAAAACAGAAATACACCATTTGAAGGTATATGCATATATTAATTTTTTTCCTTGGGGTTTAAAATACAACATGGCAGGAAATTAGTTTGCAAGGAGGTGTATTAATCCATCACTTAGAACCATGGTCAGCGTTTCTCTGTCGCATTGTTCATTTTGTGTTGCTCCTCACAGTGAGAAAAGAGAATATGGACTGGCTCCGTCAGTGCAGAGTTGGTGTCATCAGCTTGGCAGAGGTGACCCCTGTGCTGGGGCACCTCCAAGTGTTGAACGTCCACTGTAGCAGGTTCTGTCTCAGGCAGCTGAAGGGTAGAGATCTGCCTGTCAGCCCCAGTGTTTCCCACGTTCTATCTTATCGACCTTGTAGCTCTATCAACTGATGCAGCCTACCTTGCAACTACTGTTACATTTATCAGCCCAGGATTGGACTTAAGGACCCTTCTGTGCATCCTCTTACAGTTTGTTGTTTTCTGTCTTCAGCTGTTTATTTGAATTTCTAGTTATTTCACAGTTTCACAGTTTTTTTTGTTGTATTTTTCCTCTCTTGTTCTTATACGCAATTTAACAAAAAGCGACTGACCTTTTCTTTCACAGGTGGTGCAGATGGTGTTACAGCCACCAACACTGTGTCAGGACTGATGGGACTGAAAGCAGACAGCACACCTTGGCCAGCAGTTGGTGGAGGACTGAGGACCACATATGGTGGCGTGTCAGGTAGGTGTTGCCCTTTTTGATGCATGGTGCTTCCTTGGAGGCTTTCAAAACATCAGGAGGTCCTTGTAGTGGGCTAGAATATCATGTCTGCAGTCGCACTGAGTCCTTAAAGCTCACTGCTGGTCAATGTTTCTAATAGTCATGACAGATGGAACAGATTAAGTGTGAAGGCTCTTGGGTCGCCCTTTCCTTAATAGTAAAGCGCTGCATCAGAATGCTGTGATAGGGTCACCGGAGAGGGAAGGAAATCTCTTCTCTCGTGACCCTTGCTTTTCCTCAAATTTTTCATTCTGTCACAATTGTCAGGCCCCATGTTAGACAGAGGCTAATGAAAGGGCATCGCAGGGGGAAATATCAACAATCCAAATGCAGTGTATGTTTCATAGCCCGAACTCCAGCCTTCCTCCTTCATTCCCACTGAGTGCACCTCTTCCAAGGAGGTTTTTTCCTTCTCTTCCCACTGTGGTAAAAATGATAGACTGTATTAGGCAAATATATGTATAATCCTTGAGATATACAAGAATATCTTGGGTACGCCATATTTCCAAGTCATGTTCCACAGTTTAATTTCAAAACCAGCAGCAAAACTTTTACACTCCAGTTCAGTGTCTGCACACACTAACATATTAATCTATTGACCTTTTACACTCTGTTGCTGTGACAACATGAACTTGGCCCTGCAAAGACAATACTGTGAGCTTCCTTCACTTTACTAGTATGGGGATTAGTCTCCTTGGCGATAGAGGTAGCAGTAAATATACATAACAGAGGTAATAGCATCTTCTTGATTGAGTCAAACACTATTTTATCAGACCCACCTCCTACCTCACCCCAAAAACATAATCAGAGGAGACCAGACAGGCAAAATATGCTTTATTTTACGTGACTGGTGTTACCCTTAGAGAACCGTAAGAAATGTAGTGAAAGATACCTTTTAAACTTTAATTCAGACGAGTGTATTCAGTGGAAAATTGCCTTATTGCCTTAGATAACTACATGGAATTTGGAATTTTTAGAGAACGCTGAAAAGCAAGGAAGAGATAACAATCAGAAAAAATTGTTATGCCTATTGCATAATGATTATTTCACAGTGACAGTCCAGTAAGATGTTATATTTTAGTATTATGCAAAATGGGAGGAAAAGGGGAACAAGAAGAGAACAGCTACAGCCCATTTCAATTTCTCTAGCCTGCCATGTTGACAGGAAAAGAATAAAGGAGGTCACAGTGGGTGCTGTGCATTAAAAATTAATAAAAGAACTATTGCAGTAGTATTTTATATAAGTAACACCATTCACATTTTCTCATTTAAGTTGCAATTTCTGAATATTCCTTCTTACCATAAGTCTGTCTAATAAAATCTATAAAATGACTGCATTATGAAAAGTGTGTCTCATGTCACAAATTTAAAACATGTATGTAGCGTAAATTACAGTGGCACCTGGAAGCTCAGCTATAAGGGAGGATGTACCAGCATTTGTGTGGTTTATAATTCTCTTACAAGTGGGACCTGAGGAAAAGTCTTTGTTTCTTTTATATTTATATATGCGTATGTGTAAGCTTAAAAATGTGGTTTTTTCCCGAAGTTTTAAATGTGTCAGAGGAGATAGAAAGTGTCACTTTAGGATTCACTGTTACCTGTGGCGCAAATCTAGTTATTTAAAAAATATGAAAACCACTGAAAGTGCTGTCAATTTATTGTGCTTTGAAAGAGCATATTGTTGCAGACAAATATATAAAGGTTTCTTGCTGGTAATTGATATCACTAGGTCCCAATCCCTCAACTCGTTGTGCAAAAGAAAACCACAAAGCCAATAAAGTCAATAGATTCTGCAACACGTTGCAATACTTTCTGCTTAACAATCAGGGTATAGCAGTATACAAATTTATGAAAGCAGGAAAGCAATTTTAAATCAAGAGAGCTAGCATGCTCACAAAAAGACAAAAAATGGGAAAGCATGTCGTCTTGTCAGAGCAAGGGGTCAGAGTGGCCATACTTCTGAGGTCTGTTCCTGGCCATGCCAGGGCTCAGTTGCGTGGCCTGCAGCCAGACACTTGACCTTTCCGTGCTTTATTTCTGCTGTCTCTGAAATGGCAGTAACACCACTTACATGCCTACAGGCTTGTTGGGAAGTGCTCTGTGGTCCTGGCATGAAAATGGCTTCATAGTGTAAAGTATTAGTTTTCTATTTTGGTTTGCTTAAACCCCTTGTTCTGTTTTATTATTTGATAGAGTCAGTATGGTTTTGTTGTTTTTTCAAATAATTCCTCCCAAGAGATAATTAATTTTTTTAGTTAAAGAAGCCGTAAGTCTGGTCCATTTCCCGTGTGTTTTGCCAAAGCACAGCTGGTTTATCATGTTCTCTAGTGCACTAAGCTAGAGTAGACACAGGTCATAGGCAAGCTGTGTCTTGCTTTCTGGACTTCTTCCAGTTGCATAGACTTTAGCTCTCTTCTGGACTAGCACCGACGCTCTCGTGGTGCAGAGGCAGTCAGGGTGGCAGCAGTCCCTGCCCCGTGGAGCCACGTGCCCCTGGGCGCTATGGCAGCTGGCTCTAGCCCAGCGTGGGTCCTGGCACAGGGCCCCTGGGTCCGCTCTGCTGGTGAGGTCTGGAACATACCTGGTCCCAAAGCTGGTGACCCTCCACATCACCCAGCTGGTGAGGAACCGCTCACAGTGAAGTTAAACTGGATTTTAGATTAGTCTGGGCTTGATTGTCCTTTCTCCTCTTGACATGTAAATCATAGGTACCTCTCCCTACCTCCAGTAACATTGCGTGCTAGCGTAGGGGTTGCTCTGTCTGAAAGGTGGTTTTGCTTCAGAGAGTGAAAAGCAGAAGCCACTGTGCTCAGGGTCCACCCTCAGCAGCAGGACACGTTCCTCCCGCGATGGCAGGTAGAGCTGGGTAAGCTCTGCACCCGTGGCGAGGGGTGGATCACGTCGCAAGGAAGTCATTCTTCTAAAGGACAGCTGTTCTTCAGTGTTCTGTAAATTCCCTACATCCACACGTTCCTTAATGCAGTGCGGTGAGCGCAAACTCACTCCACTGAGTTTGATGAAGGTTTCCGTTGAAGAGCAAATAATGGAAGTATGTTAATGCCCTGGCTTAGCAGCAGCCTGACATTTTGACTTGCAGTCTTCCCTGTCCTCCACTGTTTGAAAATGGCTCCTACGTGGCCACGTACTGCAGAAAGGTTTTCCGTATACGACTTCCTCTTGGCCTCCTCTTTCCTCCTCGTCTACCTTGTGGGGAAGGAGCTATGTTCAGGAGGAGCATCATTCCTTTTTCCAGAAAAGTGAGACATTGAAAAAGGATTTTTTTTTTTAGTTTCTTTTAAATTACTAAATGACAGGTAGTTTCCTATGGTTTGTCTAAAATACATAAAAATAATAATAAAAAAAGTTTATTAACGTCATTGCCAGATCCTGAGATGTTTTCAGAACAGACTTATGTCTCTGTTTTTTAAAACATTTTTTTTAAAATCTTCCAAAGAAGCAGAGACTTAATAAGATTACTTACCCCCGTTTAGCTTTGAGTTGTCACAGTCAGTTTTTTCTTCCCAGCCAGTGCTCGGGCAGTGACCTTCCTGTTGATATAATTTGATCAGCTGAAAATTGCTAAGCTGTAAGAGCCATCGCTGTTTTGCCCTTCCTACTCTCCTATTTGTTGGGTGGTCTTGACAGGGAAGGATCCCAGTATCCCAGGTGGATGTTTGACCACTAGACTGTAGGATTAGTCTCTCTTTCTCCTCCACTTGCCTGCAAATATTGAATTATTAATACAGAGTGAAACAGCTCTCACAGGATTCATACTCATACTAGCACAGCCTGCTGACCTGCACACAAGCCTGACTTGGGAGAGCCTGGTTTAAATCCCAGGTGTGAGCCCAGATCCCAGCTGGGTTCCCAGTTTCCGAGTTTAACCTCCAACTATTGAGCATCGTAAAACCTCACTGGCTTTTCTTCACCTTCTACTTCTATTCTAGTGCCAAAAAAAAAATTTGTAAGAAAAATTTCACTTTAATTTTTACAAATTGTTGGTTTTTAAAGCAAACTTATTACTAATTGGCACCATGGAGTCTCAGCTGAGCCCAAGGGCTGTGGTAGCCCTGTGGGTTTCTGTGGCTCTGTTACGTGAGAGGACATTGTGCTTAGATGATCCCAGTCTTCATCCATTTTTTATAAGTTTCCAGGAACTTCCCATTACTCAAAAAGTGAAAATGGCCTGATGAAGCCTCCCAAAATATTGTTTAAAAAAATAAACCTTTATGATGAAAGAAAAATATTAAAATTAAGATACGACTTGCTAAACTGTGTAACTATCAAATGTTTTTGCAGGATTGGAGACATAGTTTGATTTCCATTAAGGAGCTTTTAGAATTGATGCAGCACTATTTAAAGTTTAAGAATATAGAATACATGAGATTTTACCCCAAGTTCTTTCTATGCAGAGTATTTGTTTCTTAAAAAGAAGCTAATGCTGGTTTTTGTCCTCATAAAGAATAACGACCTTTGGCTGTGAAAGAGGTTTTAGTCTGTATAAGTATAAATTATTTTGAAAATGCATACTTTATAGGTACTAGAATAGGATGCCAGCTTTCCCAGAGAAATGTTAATATACTGTCAGCAGCTGTATACTTCCCTAAGATTTGTTTCTTTCAAATATATTTTAAAATTTTTAAAAATTATTTTTTTTATGAGCTTTCATACTGTGTGTCCATATTCCAGATGTGTTTTATAAAACACATCACATTGCAGCACAATAGGATATCTATTGCAGGCAAGATAGAGCAGAGCTTCTGCTTGAATTTCCATGGGTTTTTGTTCTTTGTCATCTGTTTGTTTCTTTGTTTTTGTCTCTAAGCCAGATCCTTGGGGGATAAATTTATAAAACCATTCACTGGACTTAGCAAAAAACTTAGGTTAAAAGCAAATCTCTCTATGGTGCTCTCACTATGTATTCTTTTAATGCTTTGTTGCAAAAATATTGCAGTGGTTTA